ATGGGACTCCTCATGTGTGCACCCATGACCTCACCAGGGATCCAGTGGTTTTTTGATGACTAGCTTTCAGAGGTGACTCCCGAAGTTTCAATGAGAAGTCGTAACTAGTGGGGCTAACCAAGTCGAACATGAGGACAGTTACTCAATGACGGCCCCGAATGGAGGTCACGCTATGTCATGAACTGGCAGAACTAAGAAATATGGACTGTTGGGTTCCGACCCAGTGTCTCAGTGATAACGTGCTGGCAGCGCAACAGGAAGGTTCTGCGTTCGATCCCTGGTGGGATAGGGAGTGGACACTGCCAGCGAGTTCCATACTAGGACGAAACAGCTATCCAGTGCTACCAGGTTTCCCGTGTTTCTCTAACTCACGTCAGTCCATGATGAATACCAATCTGTAAAGTTCACTCATTTTATTGATCATCAATTAGATTAAAAATTATCGTTAAAGAAATAAGCAGTTTTCATGCACTGTCGTTGAACCAGTTCATCATATTATTTCACAGAATATGAAAAAGTCGAAGGAGAACACCTGACGTGAAGTTCAAGTGTGATTATTTAAGTGAGCTGATCAAATGCCTAACTAAAAAACAAATGCATAATAATAACATTTCCTATCGTCATTATTTATTACATTCTCGCTAACTCCTTTTTACGGCTAATTAATGAAATTGTTAGAGAATTGCAGACACATTTGTATCATTGCGTGAAGTGGAAATATAAATTATTATGCACGATTATATACATTTTAGAGTGTATGAAAGTGCAAACATCCTGTCAGTCTGCTTGTTCTTTTTTCTACGATTTGACCCAGATAACGAAAAAGATGATTAAGGTATACATATACCTGAGAAATAAATAAATGAGTAATTGTTGATTTTTCTATAAGATAAGCATTTGCAACTTCCGCATTTCATAAGCTTGATACCCAGAGTTTTGCGCGCGCGCATACACACATGCATATGTATATTAAAATATTCCAGGTGATATATACAGCAAACACAGGGATTATGGTTTCTCACTGTTTCAAGATGTGTTTTATGACCTCATTTTCTCCTCATCAGTTGATGGGAAGCTCTAACTGGTTAGCTAGTTTTATTTATTGTACCGTGAAATCTGATCATTTTTTGTATACTTGCTTCTTGTCTTACTATTATTGGAGATCTTTATCACGTACAACGCATAAAAATTGACAAATGTTTCATGATATTATATACCTGCCAACCTATTTATTTTCGCATATGGATATTTTGTTTCCTTGTCTATCCCCTATCCCCTGTAATCAACAAAGAGGGAAGGTAATTCCATGATAATCTTTATTCTTTCATGAATGAATTCGCCGTAAAAGAAAGTTCACTTTTCTCTCTTAGTTCGGGTCAAAAGTCTGTGACCCTCTAAAAATCAACATAATTTCAATTATATACTCACACACGTACACAAAGTTTGATTTTTACATGTATATATCAGGTTGGAAGACAAAATTATTACAAATATGGTGTAATATCGTGAAATAGTTAGTAAGTTATTATGCCATTCAAATTAATTAACCGCCTTTTGTACATGAATAGTTCTCAATTCATTCAACTAAACTCAATATAAGTTGAATCTTGATTCCATATTCATTTATCCTGCAATGTTCACTGTAGACTTTCATGAAATGAAAAACCGAATGGCTACGAGATGACTTCTTCCACCAACCTAGCATCCTGATCTATGTACTATACTCGAGTAATATTTCTATTTACTGACTTCATTTTGTACATCATGCCAGTAAGTTTTGTGTTGCAACTACGTGTCCTAACAGACAACAACAACTAATACCTCAGTTCATTACCTGCTACAGATCTTTTTGTTGTATGAAACCAGAGTATCATACGTACAAAGTGGTTTGAGGGATAGCATTCATGAAACAGGCTGGAATGGCACCACTGAGATAAGATTGTAAACTATTGAGTAGGGAAGCAGACTACGGTTAAATAAACAAGTAGTATAAGTTTTTCTCCCATTCTTCATCCCCTTGGCTATTTGAATGTCAGTTAAAATATTGTTCGTATAACTGGAAGAAATGGTGGATTAGTCAAAAAAATAATGTTCTACGATACTGGTTATTTTTGTAACGGAGGATAGGTGAGTCCAATCACATGGCAGATAATAATAGTAATAACTAACAATGGTCTCCACCAAGCACGTTGCATCCTCCCAGTTAGAGACTTTGTTCCCAGTAAGACTGGAACTGGAGACCGGTCGCTTCAAACACCAGACTGCTATCCACTAGGCCACTGAATCACGATAGCCACTTTTTGTACAACGGGTATAGTTTATTTGATGTTGCTTGTATTAGCCCGTCGTCGACAGGACCCGGGTTCGAGTCTTAATGGGAACAACGTCCCTCTCTGAGAGGCAAGTACATCCAGCTGACAAGTCCAGAATAGGATGAGATGCACGTCCTGGATTCCCCTGCTAACCATTACCTGTCATCTGTCACCAATGGAATTTCTTGATATGCCGTCTGAAACTCAAAGCTAATATGAACGTAAACTAAATGACTAATTGAAATCACTTAGATTCATGTTTATTAATGCTGTTCGTTTTTTAGATATGTAGGCCTTAAGTTGTTGTTATTGTTGATGCGTTACAATTTCATATTTCTGTAAACGTTGCTCAGTAAGTTTATAATTGTGAGTAGTCACCAGTCGGCCTCAACATAAATCACTTCACTCAATCTACACAAAAGGTTTTGGTGTACAGCAATTTTCGGCGTAAAATTTTCTATGTAACGTAAACGGTTGCCAAATTTCTGAAATAAATCCAATGACTACAAATTAGTGTATGTTAACTGATTTATTTTACCTATTTGGGAATACTGCAATACGATTTAACCTTATCTAAATTTAAACTTAAACCTTAGTGGTAAACCAACGACGTGTATTCCTAACGTCAAGTGAGATGGCTGATGAAAGTAAGAGGGCGGTGTAACGTAACAGTACCATTTATATAGGAGCGGTTGTATCTAAAACAGCGCGACTGTCCTATTTCTTAATGATGTAGTTTGTAATTTCAGACAAACACAAACAAGCATGGTGCTTATTGCAAACCGAATCGAACGGTACGTCGTCAAACATACTATGAAACAAGTGATCCTGATACTGTCCTTAATTTCACCCTAAAGATAAACAACACTTCCATGTACCTACATGATGCTGTCGTTAAAATCTCCCCTTATTATCTACTCAACGTGAAATCCTTCGGACTGTAGAAGTGGTAGAAATCAGGACCAAACAGCCGGCCCTATGCGTTTAAAAGAAGCATGTGTTGCTGCTACAACTACCGTGGCCCGATTCGGGACGCACAAATTCCTTCACATCCTACCCAAGTTTATCTAATTTTCTAATTCCATACTGTGGATATCCCTTCATTACTATTTTCTGAAACATTTTTTAAACAAATTCTCGTAACCTATTTTATCCCCCAAACATGAGTAACATTCTATCAGGCTATTATTCCTCAAATTATCTTATTTCCTTTCATCCAGCTCTCATAAACACCCACCTACTGTTTTGTTAAACTATCACTTTACTGCATTACCTACGCTGTATAGTTGTTTACATAATCAATTATTTTGAATCGGTTCCGAGTTACAGTTCATTCTATCATTAATGTGCACACAAAGCATTTCTGAATTGACTCCCTTAACTGTATAATTCTTTTAACAAACTGATACAAGAAAACTCAATATTTTTGATGCATAATTTCCCAGTATGTACATATAACTGTAGGACCTGAAGAAGAAGTTAACAAAAAGAATATTCTTTGTTCGCTCAAATGACTTTCGAACTTAAAATGGAAGTTTTTAATGATTTAGAAATTGTTTTATGGTAAAATCTTGTTAAGGATCAAACACAGACCAATGCAACCATATGAAAATAAGCTATTGGCGGTAAATTGCAGTGTAGAACTTCTAATGCCAAACTTTGATAGCTGAATTTAGCTTACTATACGGTTGTTTTAACCTTTAAGTGCAAATAAAAGTTTATTATGAATACACCCCGACTGTAAACGCTTGACAAGTTAATTGACTATTTCTCCATTTCCTTGATGATACTACAGATCCGTTCACAATGTTAACCGATATCGTAAGTTGAAACAGGTATTAAAGAAGTGAAAGCATTAACCATTTAGTGCAAGATGTTAAACAACTAGCAATACACATGTTCGACCTTTTGGGTTGAGGTAGAATTTTACTGTCTAGGTTAATTATACAATTTTAAAACATTGTTATTTTTCGAATTCAATAACTTATTAAGGTCACTTCACATTGACAAACCTATCAGAAATCCATATTCCGTTTGACTGTAGCCGGAAATCAGTAGATCATCACTAATCGATTCTTCTGGAAAGTAAAAGAGACTACCTATTTTCATCTCCATCATATTAAAATGTGCTGCAATAAAACAGGATACATGTAACACACAGCCATCAACCAAAAACTGGAAACAAGTGTGTAGGTAACAGAATGTTTATTTCATAGAAACGTAAATTCAAAAACCTTTGAAAACATTTGTATTTTAGAGGGGAGCAACAGTAATCAAAATCTCTTTAGTCATTTATCAAAAGAAATATAAGATGTTCTAATGAAAGAATAAAGAGTGTAAGCAGAAAACTGACGTAAGTTTTATAGGTAAATTGATACTATTTATGTACATGTAATTTATATTATTGAAATATAATCTCTAAGACTCATACTCTACTCAACAGTTTTACTCATAGGAAAAATAAAAACTGGGAGACATTTAAGCAGACAGAAATCTAATAACTGGTGGAAAATATAAAGATTTTTCTGAGGTAATGTCAGTTTACTGCAGGTTGTTTACAAGTATTGTAATAGTCATTGAGTAAAATGTTATTACGCGTATAATTGCAGCATCTTGAAAGACAATTTATTCATAGTTATACTGAGATATTGATTCACAGCCACTAGAGAGATTTCAATAGTCCATTCATTACTTTTGGCAACCTAGATTGAACAAATTAAAAACTGAGTTAACAGTGTCTATGCTTAAACTATTATATGCATTTTGAAAAAGTGTCATGAATTGACTAAATATGCCCTTCTGAATGAGATGAATAGTTGGGAACTTGTTCAAAGTGAAACAACAACGGTTTATTCAAGTCAGCTAGCCAGATCCAGTTAGTCGAAAAAAGCTGGCTCTTTGTATGAGCCAAGTAAATGACTGATAGGCTCAGACCCAGTCCAATGTTTAGTTCACTGTGCTCTAGTTGGTTAAATATACAGATGAGTGTCACTGATTTTTAACTACTCATACTGTTCAGCAGTATATTTTGTATGAAAAACATCTTATTATTGATTGTGATTGATTGATTTGTGACACTTTTAATATTCCTTTATTTACATCATTAAGCCTTTTCACCGGTTTTTAATTCCAAATCCAAATGGACTACGTTTTTGCCATATATTTTTCAAGGGTCCATATCATTAACATTATTTTGGTATACTACTGAAGTTACTTACAAGTAGATTGTTTAATTTAACCAATTTTTTTAAGTCGGTGTGACAGCTATTTATGATACAATTCATAATTATTGAACACCAACTTCAGAGCAGACCCTTAATAAAAATGTTTGCAAAGATTTCAGTACCACTAGAAAAATGATTTTAACATTCTTCATGGTCACCACGGTCTGAATTTCTTCAGGATATGACTATGGAACTAGTTAGTCTTATACATACTGGTTTTTATGTAATTAGCTTTTGAAATTCACGTTTTCGAAGCTCCATTTTCAGTTTATGCCTCAAAATTTATTTTCATGCATTTCATGCACCCAGTGGGTGTTCTCATCACGCTACAAGCATAAACTGCCTACACTAATAGGGAGTGTGTAACCACTCGCCTACATTGTTACCAGAAATCGCTTTAATCCATATCGAGGAATGGGTTTTTGTTGTGCGTAGGTAGTTCAAAGTATTTGGGATATTATTTATGTTACTATACTACGATAAAGTAAATTGAAGTGAACTTACTTATTTTCAACTTTCTCCAGGTATTTCCATAACACTGTGACGTAGTTTGTTGGCGAAAATGAAACTTCTGTTCATGTTCACGCCATTTAGGAAGGACATCTGTAAGAATTGAAAATTTATTATTTGTACAAGCCACTGTTATCGGCATTCATATAGGATTATTTCACTAAGACCTACGATTTTTTCATCAACTAGGATCTGAGTGATAACTAACACGCGTATATGTGAAAACTCCTCAGTTCTCTCAGAGCAATTACTATTATTATTATTATTATTATTATTATTATTATTATTAGTAGTAGTAGTAGTAGTAGTAGTAGTAGTAGTAGTAGTAGTAGTAGTAATAATAATAATAATAGTAGTAGTAGTATCATAGTAACGTATGTTTTAAGGTAAATTCTACACAACGACACTGAGTTATTTAACATGGTAGGGGGAGGGACATCCTCTATATTCAGACTTACAGTTTGTCTGCTACAACTAAGCTAAATTTTTTGAATCAATAAACCTTGTATAATATGCAAAATGGTAAATAAGGATGAATGAAATAACGAAACGTTTTATATGTATGCTTACCTAGTATTGTTAATTGGCGATATTTCACACTGGACGGGAGAACCTCTGTTATAAGTGATTTGCTTTTCTTGGTTTCAGATTTATATAAAGTAGATTTAGGAACAGGTAAATCATAACCAGAATTTTCTACTTTCTGAGACATGTTATGATCTGATATACTGAATCCCACTGAACTAAAATAATCTAACTGAGATTCAGAAACCGGTTTTTTCAAGAACGCTCCCTGAAAGTTTGGGTTCGCACAGTCTACCATCATTATTTTTTAACCATTTTCTGATTGGTATATCCCATGAATTAATTTTAGATGGTGAGCATTTGTCCACTTTAAAAGCGGTCACTTTACTGTTTTTACTATCTTCGTTTTTCAGTACAGTGAGTAGATAGGTCGTTTTCTCGACTTTAGGTTGATTCTTGTGCATATCTCTGATTTCTTTAACTGCTGTCCGTGGCACACATGAGTCTTCATACTTATCCACTATAACACGACCATCTGAATGATATTGTTTACGAAGATAAAATGATGGTATGTACTGACTTATTGCATCAATAATTTCCCAACGCCACATGTCACATGATGAATTGTTTTCGTTTTCCACCTGCTCAGTAGTTATTTTTGAAGAGGACGAACATTCGGATGAGTGAACAAGTATTCGTTCCGGTTGTATTGACTTGCTTGTCGGTAAGGATAGTTTCGACGGATGATCTGACAGAATATATTCAACACTAAAGTTGTATGTTTTCCATAGTCGTTCAGTTGATGATCGTATAACGTTATCTACTTCTTCTTGTCTTCTTTTACTCAGAAGCTCTTTATCCATTGAGAATGCAAACAACTGTCTCGCTGGTAAACTGGCTTCTGAAAACGTAAGCATCTTAATGCATGAGATGCTTAGAATGAAGTGAATACTGTTACCATTATTATTATGTGCACTGAATGTCACATGTCAACAATTTACCGATTATTTAGTCACAAGATAAAACAGGTCAGAAAGGCATTTTCCACCTCAGCCAATCAGAGCTGAGTGCAGAGGTTTCCAAATACGAAAGTCAATACATCGTCATATCCACCACCAATCTAAGGAATGAAATGTTTTCCTATTGGTCAAATTATTTTGTATTGGTGAGTGATTTTAAAGGCCGTCCTATAACAACTGAAATAATCTATAGAATAAATAGAAAGGGGAAGAAGAACATTGTTTAAAACTATGACTATGTGAGAAATAAATGTCCATTTTCTTAGCAAAATGAATTGAAACAGTAATATAAGTCTTACAACTAAGCGTAGACACTTGCGATAAGTAAGTAACAGAAACTACGGTTGGGAGTAGTTGAACGGAAGGAAGGAATTTAAGGGATAATGGTAATCAGTTCATGTTACAACAGAGTTGTTTAGAGATAATCTGATGTACCTGAGTAGCAAATGCCTTAAAGTATGTTTGTCACCGGCTATTTAACACGAATTCCCGAAATGTGAAGACTTTCTTAACGATGGAGAATCAATAAAGTGCCTTAATTCAGACATTCGTGTCAGATGATTTCGTCCATCAAAGAAACAGAAATATCCGCTTATATATCCTTTGTATGATGCTGCTTGTTCGAATTTTAGTGGAAAACAACATCGCTTACTGAGAAGCTGGTACATTCAGTTGAGGAGCTCCAGATGGACGAAACGCGCGTCCTGGATTCTACTGCTAGCCACTATCGATCATTAACATATATTCTTTAGTTGACAAGGTTTAGCGAGCCATGGTCATAAGAGTGGAACAAGTGGCTACCCAGTGGCTGAATTTTGTATATATATATGCATATATATATATATATATATATATATATATATATATATATATATATATATATATATATATCCTTTGCGTGCAGGTGTAGTTTAGTCCATTCATGAGGATTTCTTGTTTCGTCCATTCCATTTGGTTAAGTACGTGTATGCATATTCCCAAAGTTCAGAATCACAATTATTCCATGTTTAAATAAATGGTACCTAAAAATGATCCTCTCTTTAGCTGGTGAAATGAATAAGATACTAGTGAGTCAGAGGTGTTTTTTTCAAATAGGACACTTAATCATGAACATCCGTGGTGAAACCAACTAGCCACAGTTGGTGAAAAATAATGCTTTCCACTCTAAACACAGAATGTGTTCACTATTAAGAAGGCTGTTGTACTTTCATGCACACTTGTCAAGGGAATCTCAAAGTAGTCTCAGAGTGTCAATATACTGAGCATTCTAGTAGTCTATTATTATTATTATTATTATTATTATTATTAGTACTAGTATCAGTATTAGTCCCTTGGGTTCCTAATGGAACATAGGGCTTCAGTAGCACGTCTCCATCCCACTCTCTTCTCTGCAAACTTTTGAACCTGGCCCCACGACAGCCCACAACTCTCATTTCCTCCTCTCACGATCTCCTCCATGTCACCCTCACCACGGACACCCAACTCGTCGCTTCCCATCTGGATTCCACTCGAGGGACTAGCTTGGTGCGCATTGTCCCCAGTCGGCCTTCTCAGCGTATGCCCAATCCATCTCCACTTCCTTCCAATGCATATTTGTTGCGTGATAGGTTCTTGGTTGGTTCGTTCCCACAGCTCCTTGTTGCTTATTCTGATTATTCTGGCCATCTGATCTTCAGTATCGAGTGAGTGTAGGCAGTTGTTGATGAATGTCTGTAGTTTGTTGGAAATGCCTTTCGTAACGCGCCAAGTCTCTGAACCATCACACAGAAGCACTGACTTGACTGACGTTGGTGTTGAAAATCCGGATGTTGTTCTCTGTGCTGAGTGCAGAAGATCTCCACACTGGTTTCAGGCTGATGAACACCTGTCTTGCTTTTCCAATCCTGGCTGGCTTTGACATCCTCGTCTGCGCCTGTGCTGCCTGTAGTTGAAACAGTGCTGCCTGCCTAGATAGGTGAAGGAGGTTACTTCCTTTAAGTTTCTCCTGTTCATGGTGATTGGAGTTTGTTGTTGTTGTTGGTGTTGGTTGGGTATCTTCATCACCTCTGTCTTCTCCACGCTCACCTGAAGGAAGTCCCGACTTCGCTGCCTCGCCTCGCCTCACCTCTTCTGTCAACTTGTTAGTTCTCACCTGTAGATCTTCAAGTTTGTGTGACATCAGACATAAGTCATCGGCGAAATCCAAGTCTTCTAGGTTATTTTCCTCAGTCCAGCCAGCGTATCCCCCTCTTCCCACAGCTCCTCACTGTTTGTTGCATGATCCAGTCCACTACAATCAGGAATATCATGGGTGATAGCAGGCAGCCTTGTTTCACTCCTGTCTTCACTTCAAAAGCATCACTGAGCTGAGCTTCCCATTGTGAATTACTTGGCTGGCATGTGGCGTCTTCATATAGCCAGCTGTTGAATCAGATTGATAAAGGTTTGTGGTATTCCGTAGAATTGAAGCAGTTTCCAAATTGTTTCTTGGTCGACGCTGTCAAAGGCCTTCTGAAAGTCGATGAAGTTGAGGTAGAGATCCAGTTGACAGCCATTCTATACTCTGTTCTATGATGATGCGTAGTGTAGCGTTGCAATTTGGTTAGCACATGATTTGTAGTTCCTGAAGCGTGCCTGTTCCGGTCTAATAGTCTATACAACAATTTTTTATTCTGCTGTTTTCCTTTGTCTGATTACCAGATGAATAATAGGAAGATACTGCTTTCAAGAAGGCTTCTCCATAAACCAGTGAAAGTGATTTTATCATCTTGGGGGGTTAAGATAACGTTGGCTTCTGTAATTCTGACCACGTGTACCACAGAAATTTTATGTTCTGATCTTAGGCAGAAGAGGAAGAATATCTTTAACGTTATCTAGCAGTTACTTTTTATGTTTTGTATGAAAAAAATGTGAATAAAAAAGAGCCCTTGTGTTTCCGAGTCTATGTAGGAAAATTATGTTAATACAGATTCTTGTATTTGTAGACTTTTTATTGTGTTGACTAGTACATCAACTTTGCCTTCAGAAGTGGAATTCATCTAAGACTCAACTAGAAAAGGATTTCGTTTTATATAGTACTTTAAACTGTTTTGTATAGGTAGCATACTAACTTAACTGCGGGGAGTTCAAACTGGAAAGAAGTGCAGACCTCTTAGTTAGTGTTGCTCAAACACTCACATTAGTGTGGTTATTGTGACTCACGGGTCTAGTGGATAACATTCTAGCGTTTGGAGCGATCACCCCCGGGTTCCAGTCCTGGTGGGGTAGGGATCACCCAGTGAGGGGCAGCTGATGAGTCTTAAGTGAGGCGAAACACACCTTCTGAATTCCACTCCTAGCCACTATCCATCATTACTGTTAAACTCACATTACTGGTTTGGAATGGCTCGGAGGTAGTAACTACTGTGTACACGGACTGTTTTTTTTCATATTAGTCTTCAAGATCTTATTATTCCATCTCTTATCTTATCTATTAACATTTTTGTCTATTTCTTACACAGGATGATAGTGGTGTCTGCTTTTCTTTTCTTTATGTTTCGTTACTACGGAATATTGCAAAATGGGACGAAAACGATGACTTCTATCCTTCATGCCTACCTAACTGATTGACAAAAATTACTTTCCTTGTAAAAATTGTGAAAATGATGGTGAAAAACCATCTTAGGCATAGATAATTTGTTGAGTGAGTTCAGTAATTTGAAACCAATAATTCCGAATTTAATAATGTTCATAATGATAATAGACAGTGTCTAACAGAAGAATCCAGGAATAGTTTTTTGTCCTATTTTGGGATTTTTTAATTGGACATACCTGCCTCTCAGTGAACGATGTTGTTCCCATCAAGGGTTGAACAAGAAACCGATCGCTTCAAATACCACAGCGTTATTCACTAGGTCACCGAGTCACCATAGCCACTTCTTGTATGATAAGCATAGTTTTTATGTTGTTGCTTGGACCGAGTTCATAAGTTTGTTATGGCATACGAGCTCCCGCATTGATGCCCCCCTATTGCCTATCGTTTCAGTTTTACATTAATGATGGTTAAGGGCTAGTAGTGGAGTCCATATACCAAAGAGGTCGATCACTGGTTCAGTCAACGACAGGATAATACAAGCAACAACATGGTAATGTTCATGTTAACATATAAAATCATTTCGAAGTTGGTCTTTTCTTATGCTAACATTCAGTCGTGAACATTTCACAACTAAACTCGATGATTAGACCAATGTTAATTTGCAGTATATAAGCTGAGTGAATAAAGAGCAGTGATCCCCCCTCTTCCCAAAGTAATCCCATTACCTAGAAAATCTGTTCGTGCGCGGCTACGAATGCTATTTTTATATGACCGATTGAACTCTAAGTTAGGCATAAAACTATATATAGTACGAAATTCGCATATGTTTTGCCGTATTATTGTTCAATATATAATCAAGTCGGCAAGTAGTGTTAACTTTTGTTTATATGATAAATTCTATATACCTCGGTTCATAATCCGTAGTATTAGCAGTAGTCCATACGGCGTTAGCAGTAATCAGAATGTTGTCATAGAGACAAGAGGTATTGATAAACAAAGCAAAAGCTGTTATATGAACCAGTACGATGGATGGTGACAGTTATACTTATGATGATAGATAAATTCAGTGTTAACCATATCTAGTGTTCGCCAGTCATGTACACAAATATTTATACATTTGTTATCAATAACGATAAGTGTAACAGATTTTGCGACGATTTTCTGTTAAAAATGGTTTTGTTTTAACCAGTCAACATCTCAGTTGGGAATTGAAATTATCACTGCAATTCCTTTTGAATTATGTGATACTCATTATGTAACAGTAAGAAATAAGTGATCTAACACAGTCTTTAAACTTTATTTTAGGGATCTGAATTTGAAATATACTGAAAAGTAACCGTTGTTA